CCTTGGCGGCGCACAGGCGAGCATTACGGCAGATTGCAGCTGCGACAGGGAAGCGCCTTCAAGCGTCAATCGACCTCGGGGCATCAGAGGAGATCATCGCAAGTCAGAAGCGAGAGTACAGCGTCCAGCTATGCATGATCATCACGGCCCGTGCGCCAGGTGAACGCTGTGACCGCCAACGAGCCTACGTCGCCAAGGCTCTTGGCAAGTTCGAGCGTGCCCGTGAGGCGGTCGACAAGGCGCAGGAACGATTACAAGAGGCCCAGTCGAAGTGCACGCAGCGCGAGATGGAGCATGACAGGGCCAAGATGCTGCTGGACCAGCTCGAGGCGATGCAGGCAGGCCATGCAGCTGGAGGAGCAGCTGGCGACGTGGACATGGGCGCGTACGTGGAGGGCACGCGGACGCCTGAGGCTGGAGGCGTGACGCCTCAGACGCCTCAAGGCATGCCTGTGCAGCTGGCGGCCATCGCGGAGCCCCAGAACGGCCAGGCGTCGCTCACGGCCCAGCTCAGCAGCCTGACGGCAATGCTGACGACGCTGCAGACGGCGATGGCGGCGGCGAGGGCCCCAGCAGCTGCCGCCGAGGTCCCAGTCCCACCTGAGAGCGGCGGACCGCAGGTCAGGCCCTACGCTGGCCAGCCCCAGCGACTTGGCCGCATGCCGACGGCCGAGGAGATCGCGGCTGCCGCACCTGCCTCCGAGGCCGCGGTAGCGAGCCCAGTCGACGGAGCAGCTGGCCCTGCAGCTAGCGCCGGCCCCGCGCCGCCCGTGCCCGCGGCAGCTGACGGTACAGCGGCGGAGCCTGCAGAGGCCGACGGCGAGGACCTTGCAGCGGTGCGTGCCCGTGCCGCCGCTGCACGCCGCGCCAAGCGCGAGCAGGAGCGTGCAAGGCGCCCGCCGGGCCAGCCGCTGCTCGCGGACGCCATAGCCAGGCAGCAGCAAATGGGCGGGCATCCAGGCCGTGGCAGCATCCCGGCCCCAGCTGGACGTGCAAACATCGCGGCGGAGTTCGGCGACCATGAGACGGAGGCGGCGGCGAGGCGGACGCGGCACAGCCGCGACCGCAGCGCCCGAAGGCCCGACGGCTTCGAGGTGGTCGGCGGCGCTGGTGCGGAGCCGACGGGAGAGTCGACACTGGGGTGATGCAGCAGGGCAGGCGAGCTGCCAGGAGTGAGATGCCTGAGCCATTCATAGTTCGCCTGTGGCTGCCAGCGCAGCCGACTTAGTGTCAGAACCTCTCGATCAGATGGAGTCCGATTTGCCTCCCCCCCTCGCTCCGAGCCACCTTTGCCCCCCCCCCCCCATGCTTACTCCTGTCCAGCTCACGGATCCAGCATGCTGAAGTCAGACATAGACGCAAGGCGTGCCTTGCCGTATGCATAGCGCCATGGACGGTGCAGCCAATTTTCGGCAGCAGCGTCACGGACTAGTAGAAGGAGGGGTGGAGGTTAGTCGGAGGGTCAGGTGGGTTCACGATTACTCTCTCGCCGCCAGCCGCCCCTTCTCCTGCCGCACTGTTTTCTGCAAACATGAAATTATATATGTGGTGTTAAACCTACTGCCAGTCATGCCAAGTAAGCCAGAGGCGGCTGATATCACGCATGCCTCCATAGCTAGTACTAGGGATGTAACAGGTACGGCGGATTCAGGTCCAGGCCCCTGGAATATTTCACGGAACTCCCTACTCAGGTTGTGGGAACCATCTTGGGAGTTTCGATAGGGTGCTGAAGTTTCTATGCTGTTTACCGCGGTCGTGTCCTGCCGCACGCGCATTTCTATGGACGACGCAGCCAAAGCTTGGCAGCGGCATCTCTCGTCAGAAGAATGTTGGAGTGGAGGGTATTTCGGGTTCAGGAGGGAGGGATTACGAGCGAGGAAGCGACCCGCTCCTTTTTTATCGCTCTCTCGCTCTCTCTCCGCCAACCGCCCTGCCCCTCGCCGCTCCGCGCATCACCGTGCCCACCCCGCCCGCCCCCTCGTGCCGAATGATCAGTCAGATTGCTACGACGTGCCTAGGTGCGTGTCAGGTCCAGGTGGCCATGGTAATCATGCAGCTAGGGCCTACGGGGCAGCTCCGTATCCCCCCCCCCGCCCGAGAGGTACAGCCGACGGCTCGCTCGCCAGCCCGCTAGCGAGCATGCCCCATCTTTCTTGTCGCATGCTACCCCCTCGCTTCCTCTTCGAGGGGATGGACGGGGCAGGATCGGACAGTCAGCGTGCGCACTCTCTTGCGCACAAGTCAGCGCCATCTTGGCAGCTATCTCTATGTGTTTTCTTGGGCAAGAAACAAGCGACACAAAGGCGACAGGACCACAGTCTCCCTTTTGTGAAGACTGCCGCATTGCCCGTCCCAGTCCCCAGTCCCGGCACATACCACGATTTCAGTCGCTGCCAGCAAGCCTGTTCGCCTTTCGCCCCTGGCACAGGTCCAGCCACACGGCTATCAGTGAACACCACAATCCTGCGTGTCTTAGACCGCGGTGCGTCTCGCGCATATGGGATTGGAGTGGTGGGCGGGTTTACGTGTCGATGGTGGGATCGGGTTGAAGGAGTTCTCGGTGCGACCAATACACACTTGCGAGCAATGCTCATATGCAGAGCCTGTGTGTCACGCAATGAGGAGCCGCGAGCGAGAAAGAAAAAGGATTAGGGCCCAGGTCTGCGTTCCAGCCTTACCTTCTCCAATTTTTCTGCTTTGGCACTTCACTCCTCCTCCTGCCCCCGACTCCACAGTGCCCAGGCCATTGATGCAAGCCCCTGTAGCGCTTGCCGGCCAAGTCAAATATTGTTGAGGGGGTCTGCGTCCCAGCCTTCCTCTTTCCCCCTTTCTACGTATTATTTTCCCTCCCTCCCTCTCCCCCCACACCCGAATGCCCTGGACGGGCACAGCAGGCCGCTGTTGCAGCTTTCGCATTCGCCGCCCAGTTGCCCAGTTGAAGTGTGGGGGATTGAGTGGAGGTGGGAGGTTTTCGGAGTGACGGGTTTGGTGTACTCGTACTGTATACTGCAATCCTCAGGTGCCCGTGCGATCTCACTATTTCAGTTTGCATCGCTAGTCGCAGCGCCATCACAACTCGACAGGCTAGTTGCCTCAACGAGCAGGCAATCCAAAATCCTCCCCGCCTCCTCCTCCTCCCTGCCATCAGAAGCCTGATGTCCCGCGCCCACTGCCCCCCAGGACGAATGTTTTCTGTTGTGCGCACGGCCTGGGCGCGCCGCCGCCGCCCCCCCCCCCCCCTTCTGCAGGCCGAGCCAGGCACCCCGTGGCATCGCCAGCACAACTGTGAGGCCCACGACGGCCAGCGCAGATACAGTCGAAGCCTATGACACTGACGGGCGGTAATCGTGCCCTGGCAGAACTGGGTTTAGTGGAACCTGGTTTAGTGATCTGAGGGGGCGCCGCAGGAGACGATCCACTCTGCATCAGCAGACCTGCGACTGGCCTGCTCGTGAGCTGCACCTGGCATTGCACCGGCCTTGCAGGCGCGCTACAGCGGATTTCTGCGTGAATTTCTGCGTGGATTTTTACCCGAAACGGCGAGCGAACAACGAAGTAAATTTCGCGTGGGTAATTTTTGGTCTTCATTCCTGTGCTGCCCCAGACGTGTGTGGACTGTGCTGCGACTTTCGGGGCCCTCGGGAGGGGCTCTGGCACTGGATCGGGGTCGTGTGCGGAAGCCCCCTCCCCCGGTGGCCACATGTGGTCTCCGCTGTGAAGCAGCGATCAGGAATCTGATCCTGAAGCCCACAAGACCCTGGCCCGAGCGACACCCGCCAACGTGGGCCAGGGCAGGACCACTTGGGCGAGGATCGGCAACGGGTTCTCACGCAAGATGACGTAGCGATCTTACGCGGTGGCTTGCGCGGGCCGCCGGGGCGGCACGTCACATTGGGAACGAGGGCGCTTACGCGCGAGCTTACGCAGGCAGCTTACGCGCGAATGCAGGCGCAGACGACCCCGTGTTTGTTGCGTCGCTCACTTGGTGGGAGACGAAGGCCAACGCTAGTGCCGACACGTATGCGAAGGCATGTGCGCTTTTGCATGGAGTTTCACAGGCCCGCGCCGACTTGGCGCGATGGTTTTGCAAGTTGGCGCGGGAGGCTGGGCAGTGGGCGGGTGAACTGGAGGTCCATCTGGCGGCCTCGCGCGCCCCAGCGCGCAGACACGTTTGGCTGAGGCCGCGAGGCCGAAACCAGCGGAGCTGCGGAGCCTCAGAGGAGCGGGAGCCCGTCGAGGACAGGGACGCGACTGACGGCGACCCGCCTGTGGGAGGGGACGGGGTGGACGTCAGCAGCGTGGTGGTGGGAGAGGGGGAGAGGAAGCACGCGTCCCTCTGGCCTGAAGCGACCTCCGAGGCGTACTGTGTCTGGGGACACGGGCTCCTCAATCAAGCTGTCGATTCGCTCCGTGCTCAGGGGCAATGCCTACGCTGCGTCACCGGCACGGCGCGTGCTGCACGGACTTCGAGCCAACCCGGGTGCTGCGAGCGCGGTGCAAAGCAGCTGTGCCCGCTAGTGCCAACATCGAATCCCAGCTGGGTCGCATCAAGAATGGGCGACACCCCCACTACCGTGCGATCGCCACGGAACCCCGTGCGCGATCTCCCTGGCCCACCGTCCAGTCATGATCGTAGGATTGTGAGTCGAGCAATGCTGTCTCCGCCGCCGCCAGTCGACCGAGCCGCAGTGGCCCCGAGCTGGCATGCGGCTGGAGAGCTCGCACCGAGGAGTGCTTTACTTCAACACTTCGGCCTGCTCGCGTGTGGCCTGCCGCGTGTCCAGGCACCTGGAGCGAACGCCCGTCGAGACGGGTCGGGGATGGGCTCCGACCCCGAGTCCGACGGAGGTACCTCTTCGGATTCACCTGTGTCGAGCGTGATCCACAATGAAAATCCTCATTCCTCCTCCTCCTCCTCTTCCTCCTCCCCCTCCCTCCTTGTCCTCCCCTCCCTTCCCCCCTCCCCTTCCCCATCCCCTGCCTCCAGCAGGCCCGGGGAGAGCAGGAGGGGAGGGCGGGGCAGGTAGTCGTGAGGTGGACGGGAAAGGAGGAGCAGGAGGAGGGAACGAAGAGGCGGACTGAGGAAGAGGAGCAGGAGGGGGCAGCAACAGGAACGAGGAAGCGAACCAGGAGGCAGCATACGGAACGAGGAGGCGGACCGGGAGGCGGGAGGAGGAGCGAGAGAGACGTAAGAGAAAGAGGCGGGGGAGGTGGACAGGGAGGCATTCGGCGAGGACTAGCAGGAAGAAGGAGGAGGGCGAAGACGAGGAAGACGAGGACAACGAGGAAACGTCTTCGAGGACGCCGCGGGCCTGTCCAGCCCGCGACTGCTGCTTCGGAAGCTCTCGAGCTCTGGCCGAGCGCTTCGCCATCGAGAGGGCCCGAGCGGAGGAGGACCCGGCCACGAAGAGGTCCCCTTGCCTGCGGTGGGGGCCCGACCACAGGACACCTCCCACAAGAAACCCAACCCTGAGACCCCAGGACGTCCATCTTACCAGCCTGGAACATATCCCTATCCCTATGCTGGGCACCTCTTCATCACGATGCCAATCTTAGGGGTTCCCTTATTTTTTGAGGGCGAATCCCTAAGATTGTCATCGCCTTTTGGCGTGTCAGTCTTAAGGATAGGGATACGTTCGAGGCTGGTAACTATCGGGGTGTGGTTTGGGAACGTCACGACTTCCATAGCAGAACCATCGAAACCCAAGAAGCCCAGGGCACCCTGCAGGCAGGGAGCTTCTTGGCATGGGCCTCCACGGTATTTTAAAAAGGGCACGGCCCGAAAACCAAAGCCACTCATTAGGGGAACGAAGAACGAAAACCAGAGCCCCTCATTCGCTGAAAGAACGGCGCCGGAGGCGCCGCCAGGAGGTCCAACGCACATCCGAGAACTCCGCGCGGACCTCCGAATGTTTATGTCGTTTCTCGTTCCCCTGCTCATGAGCCACAAATGTCCACTTGCGCCAACGGCCTCAAAATGCGTCACGACCGCGTTCCTTCCCCAGGGGCAGATTCCCGCCCTAGGTCCGTTTGCGAAGGCCCATGGGTCCCAAAAGCGGTGGACCCCAGGAGAGCGGCATTGAGATTACACGGCCGAAAGAAAACCCACCCGCTTAGATGGCATGTGTGCCGGTGACGCTGCGATTTCATTGCGGAGGGAATCGGGGAACCATCCCATGCGCATCCCGCCTGGTGCCAAGATAGGGGAAGACAGGGTCAGAGTGAGCAAACGAGGAGCGGAATGGCGTCACAACTCCTCGCCCGTATCCCAGGCGGCAAGCGCCACTGCGACTGCACCCCGCGATGGGAGTCGAGAGCTCTGGACGAGACACAGCCAAACCCGAAATCAATATCAATCATCGCGCCCTTCAGCTCCAAGCAAGGAGGTGGCAGTGCGTCCCTGGCGATTCTGGGCGGCATGCTTGCCGCGCGCAGCAAGGGAGTACTTGTGGCCTTCGAGAGAGAACCCAGGGTCGTTGGCGCCCCCTGGACATCGAGACACCGACTAACGAAGACATTGGCAAGCCGGGGAAGCAATACCCTTCCCTGCAAACTCAAATTGGATCGTCCAGTGCACTTTTTTGGCTGCGCTGCAGGATTCGGGTCTTGGCCCAGGTCTGAAGGGGATTTACAAGCGTGTCGGGCACCTGTTCAGGGTTATCCCAGGAATGTTGCAGGGCATGTTTGTTCAGTGGCGGCATCTGGGGGAAACCTGGTCTCGAGGGATTATGGATATCCTGCTGGGGTCGGAGTTGAAGTAGATGGGGTCGGAAGATCGCGACGAATCGCCGATGCATCGCCGATGCATTGGCGATGCATCGGCGATGCACTGACGATGCACTGGCGATGCATCGTCGACGCCGGCGTGAAGCAAAACGGGCTGCACATCGGGCCGCTTCGGCGATGCATCGGCGATGCGGCGCGACCCTCCGGCCCCATCCACTCCGACGACTTACCAAACCACCCCAACCAAACCCGAAGACCCGTATTTCGGGTTTGTAAGGGGTGCGGGTTCCATCTGCGTTTTTCAATGTTTGTGCCTGGACAGAACACCTGGGCGACACAACCCAAAGGGAGGCGCCCAAAGTGCCTGCATGAAGTCACATGCAGCCGGACCCCGCAGCATGAACGGCGGCACAGACCCGCCCCAGGCGTCACACCTGCGCCGCCGCTGCGAGGTCACCCCCATTTGGCCGCCAGCCTCAAGCAGCGGAGACCCCGCTGCCCAAGGACTGGAGTGCCCGCGACCCCCACGGCGGGGGACCCCGTCGAGTGACCCCATCGGGCCTCCCAGGGGTGGGTTCGGCGGGCCCGCGACACTCCGACACCATCTGTGAGGCCCAGAAGCCTAGCGTGTCCAAGTCTGCCGGGGCCCTGACGGCAACCCCACAGGGGTGCTGAGCCGGCCTGGGGCCTGCGCCCGTCCGCAGGTCTGCACGCAACTGAGGGCATGCGCCACCTGTGAAGCCGAGAGAACTCCTGCAGCGGACGGCAACTCCCGACGGGACCGCGCTTCCCCCCTGCTTCTCCTCCCGCCTCCCCCGCCTGTGCTCTTCGTCCCGTCTTTCCATATATCCCCACTTACCATATTTTATATTTTTCTGTGGAATCGACGATTAATTGTGTCTGTGTGTTTTTCTCCCTCCCGGAGAAACGTCGCAGGCCCTGCGCACACCCCCTAGCGTCGAAGGAAAAAAACACCCTGTGCACCCCCTGCGGCGCAGAGGACGTGCCACGCCCGCCACGCCATGCGAGCGTGCGACGGATAGCGCGCCCGTCCCCTGCGCACCCTCTCCAATGTCAAAAAATGCAATGCTCGCCACCCCTTGCGAGCGTGCGACGAACTGTGCCCCCACCCCCTTCGCACCCCATCTGACGTGGAGGAAGTGCCACTCAGGCCATGCTTTGCGAGCGTGCGACGGATAGGGGCCCTACTCCTTGCGCACCCTCTCCAATGTCGAGAAAGTGCTACCACTGCAATGATGTGCGAGCGTGCGACGGATGGCACCCGCACCCGCAGCGCAGCCTACCTGGTGTCGAAAGAATTCCACATGCTTTGCGAACGTGCGGTGGTTAGCGCCCCCATCCCCTGCGCACCCCCTCTGGTGTCGAGAAAGTACCACGCATGCCACGCTTTGCGTGCGTGCGACGGCTGGCGTCCCCATCTCCTGCACACATCCTCTGGCGTCGAGAAAATGCCACGCCTGCCACGCCCTGCGATCCTGATGTTTGATGTGTGTGTGTGTGGATGTGTGTGTGTGTGTCGTCTTCTTCTTCTTCTTCTTCTTCTTCTTCTTCTTCTTCTTATTATTATTATTATTATTATTATTATGCTTCTTCTTCTGGCGCGCCTGCGCGCGACGGGCCAGTGATGTCCGCCGGTCGCAGCCCGCTCGGCCCGTGCGCGCGCGCCCGCGCGGGCGGGCGGGCCTACTCCGCCGGCTGGCCAGGGCGCGAGGGCCCCTCCGGCAGCAGCGTCAGCCGCAGCACGCGGCGCGGCCCGCCCTCCGCCTGGCGCTCCGCGGGGGGCGCGGCGGAGGCCGCCACCTCCGCCGCCACGCACCGGAAGGGCCGGGTCCAGAGCTTCGGGCTCGCGGGCGCCACCTGCCACTGGTAGGCCTGGGCCACGGCCTCGGCCATGCGCAGAAGAGGGGAAAGCGCCATCAACACACAAACTTGTGGCGCTCCGCGCGGGCTTCTTGGATATTCGCGCTGGGACCCCTCCCTGGCGCGCGGAGGCGCGCCAGGGGCGGCGCCGGAAGCGCCGCCGGGGGGCCCAGCGCGGATCCGAGAAATCCGCGCGGAGCGCCAAAAGTTCATGTCTATGTGGCTTTTTCTTCTTCGACATGCGGTGCGTCCTGGTCCAGATGCTCTTTGCCTTACCACCCAGCAGCGTCTCCACCGCCGCCGTGGCGCCCTCTGGGAGGCGCGCCACCTCGGTGGCGACGGCCTTGGTCAGCGGCAGCAGCGAGCCCTCGCTCTTCACGAGCAGCACCCTGGAGGGCGCCGCGCCCACGCGCACGTCCATCGTTTCGGCCTCGTCGGCGTGCCCGGGGAAGAAGAACCGGAACCCGCGGCGCGGCGCTGGAGCCTCCTCGCCTCCTGGGGGCGCCGCCTCGTCGCTGGCGCCGCCTGTGCCGCCCTGGCCAGGGGGGTGCAGCCCGGCGGCGGCGAGCTCCTCCCCATCAGCGAGTGACAGCGCGAAGACCAGGGGCCTCTCTGGCTGGGCCTGCGCCACGGCCTGTGATGGGCCCATGTTCCACCACCACTACCATAGGTAGGAGAGGGAAGAAGAAGAATAAGAAGAAGAAGAAGAAGAAACATAAGAAGAAGAATAATAAGAAGAAGAAGAAGAAGAAGAATAGGAGGAGGAGGAGGAGGAGGAGGACCTCCTCATCTTCCCTTCTCCCCCGTCCCACACCTATGGCAGCGGCGGTGGAGGACTTGCCCACCAGCCTGCAGCGCCAGGGTCACGCCACGGCGGCCGGCCACCAGCAGCTGCACGCCGCCGCCGCGCCCGCGCGTCTTCAGCGTCAGGCACAGCTCCGCCGACAGCAGGCCCACCGAGCGGCGCCCGTCCGCGATCAGCGTCGCCGGCCCCGCGGCGCCCCGCGGGGCCTCGGCGGCGGCGGCGGCGGCGCGGGGGCCCGCGCGCGGCCCCGCCGCCGCGCGGGGCCGAGCCCGCCGCGGCCCGCCCGCAGCGCCACATGCCGGCGGCGGGCGCGCGCCAGCGGCCGGCATGGGCGGCGGGCGGCTGGGCGCGGGGGGGAATGCTCGGAGAGCAGGGATGGTTGTGCGGACGTGGCTGGTGGGGTTACCAGGGGGCAGACACACAAGCCTGCCTCGCTTTTGACCGCCCTCGCTTCCAAGAGATACCAGGCGATGCCAAGCTGCGGCCAGCACTGGTCAGGCCGCTGGACGAGGAGGCGCGCGGTATGACTTGGTTTTGCCTGGAAGCGAAAGCGGGGTAGGTAACTCACGCTCTGATATACAATCGGGCTTGATTGGAGAGGACACGCGAGAGGACATAAGGACCTTTCGAGGGCCACGTCGCCGTAGGAATGTAGACAGCGTGGGTCGCGGGCCACAGAACACAAGGGTACCCTTGATCTGGCAGGGTCGACCTGCTAGTCTGGACCGACTGTACGAGGCGCCCAACCCACCACAGCCGGGAGGGGGGAGGGGAAGGGGGGGGGCGGGAGACGCGAGGAGGGAGCAAGGGAAGTGGGCGAACGCGGGTGCGACGCGGGCGGGAGGAAAGCCGGAACCCCACCTGGCCTGCGGGAAGAACAACCCCAAGTCAGAAGAACCAGCAACTGCAGAAGCATACCCCTGAGATCCAAGCTCTTGATAATCTCCGGAGTATACAACATAGTGATCTGGAGCTCTCGATCTCCTCGGCTAGATGATTATCATGTGCGCAGCATGAGCATACACTGTCGGAGGTCCCCGTGGTTCTCTTGGATCTGCGCTGGGCCCCCTCCCTGGCGCGCGGAGGCGCGCCAGGGGCCGCGCCGGAAGCGCCGCCGGGGGGCCCAGCGCGGATCCGAGAAATCCGCGCGGAGCGCCAAAAGTTTATGCGTATGGCCTTTTGTTTCTTCTTCGACTGATGCTGCCGTCGCGAACTGACCACGTCGCTTGCCATCTGCCGGCAAGCGGGTGATCGGGGCTCTGGCCCCACTGCGCGCGGTGCCCGCGATGGCCTGCTGCTGTGGCCTGCGGCCACCTTCATCGGACGGACTTGGCACATGCACGAGGCACGTCTGTGAGCGTTTTCTGATTCGGCGTTTCGACATTGGGCGGAAGGGGGGGAGGTGGGGGAGGGTCTGGCTCGGGAACTCTGCTTAGTGCGGCTGTTTGCAGCAGTGCGTCCTGTGGGGGAGACTCCACCTGCTCGAGGCAGGCGCCAAAAACGGCCAAGATCTACTCCAGGGGGGCCCTTCTCGGAAAGCAGCGGGGTTTCTCAGAAGACCTTCGGCCGTCTGGGAGCCCCCCTTGTGGCCTCGGAGAAGGCTTCTGATGGGCCTGCTTTCCACCACCGCCGCCATAGTTGGAGGGGGAAGGAGGAGGACGAGGAGGAGGACGAAGAGGAGGAGGAGGAGGAGGAGGAGGAGGAGGAGGAGGAGGGGGAGGATAGGACCCCCTCCGCCTCCAACTTATGGTGGTGGTGGTGGAAAACAGGCCCATCAACGTCGACCACTTCTCAGAATGCCCGAGGCCTTCCGAACCTTCGGAGAGAGACCGCCCCTCTGCCTCCCGCAACCCATGGACGCGCCGCCTGCAAGCGTCTATCTGCCAACTCTTGCTCCTTTCCTGCGTCCGTCCTCTAAAACTTTCCAACCCCTCAGCCCACCGCAGGCTCCACTTTGCTGCTCTGGGCTGTCCTCTGGTCAAGATAGTCCGTCACGCCGCCAACCAGAACGCCGAAGTTCTTGCTGTCGTCCCAGCCGTGCGCTCGCCACACGTTCTTGCCGCGCGAGTTCTGCGAGATCCGAACCGCTTTTGACGTGCCTGCCTGGCTCTGCGTGCCATCTGGCCGTACACCCTCGAAGAGTGTGGGGGGTAATGCAGGATGGAGACTGCCCATCATGCGATTCACACATAAACTTGTGGGTGCCAGGACAATGGACACCCTAGCAGTCCGATCATCGAATTAAACATGTGTTTAAGCTGTAGGAGAAATGCCCTGGAAATGTTTGAAACATGTTGCTATACATGTTGAGAACAGTTGTTAACACAGTTTCTAGACACCTGGAAATTATTTGCCAACATGCTGACTCTCCATTGATCGTCCTCCACAAACGTAAACTCTCTCACTCCTCTTCTTGCTTGCTCGCCTCCACTCCAACTGACGGGCGGGGCGCCCCAGAGGCGCCCGCGGCCCCCACGCGGGCGAAACAAAAACAGGGGCACCATATGAGAAGCAAAAGGCCGCAAGTGCAAGCGTTGATATTCTGGCCATCGCTCGGACGTGCATTCCCGTTGTGTTTGTTCGGTTTCGTGCGTGGTATTTTTCGCAGGACGATCCAGGATGCTCCTTAATAATCCCAGCCGAGAAGAAGTGTACAAGTCCGAGCGATACCAAGTATTGGGGGCAAATGTTGTGGAGATCTCCTGGGGGGGGGGCTGCTCTTGCTTCCGCCGCGTTCCGCCGAGCTTCCGCTGGCGGAGGCGCCCGTTTTGCCTCCGCCGCCTTGCGGCGGCCCTCCATCTTGGAACGCTACTCCCACGCTCCCAAGAGGTTTATTTAGGCGGGGGCACATGGACGACCGTTCATACTGCCAGGCGTAACTCGGCTGTTGTATCGATTTGGTGCCCCAAGACAAATGGTAGAGGCATCCCATATAGGGTCAGAGTAGATGGGGTCGGAAGATCACGCCGCATCGCCGATGCATCGGCGATGCGGGAGGGAAGGGGGAGGCAGGGAGGGAGGGAGGGAGGGAAGGAGAAGAAGAAGTGGAGGAAGAGGAGAGAGAGCGAGAGAACGAAAAAGAGAGAGAGAGAGAGAAAGGGATCGAGCGTTTTGTCCAACTGCGCCTGCTTCTCAGAGACCATCTCATGGCAAGGTGAACATTATCATCCTCCTCTTCCTCCTCCACCTCCTCCATACAATTGCACAATATAAATACTACCCTCCTCTTTCCACTGATGACGCCCGGAAGATGTTCGCCCCCCCTCCGCGTAGTGTTTTGTTACACACCGGATTCCCAGGAAATGTGTTTTCGCTTGGGTTGTTTTTGGAAATGTTGCTCCCGCTGAAGCGCTGGCATCATTTTCGGGTTTCCGCTCGTTCCGAATCGTGCTCCCACTGCAGCGCTGGCCTCATTTCCACGCTTCCGCTCGTTCCGAATCGTGCTCCCGCTGCAGCGTTGGCGTCATTATTTCCAGTGCCATGCCACGGCATGTTTTTTGGTCTTTCCAAGTAGGCCCAAAAATCCAGAAAATGCCCCCCTCTTACCCGAAAAAAACATCTAAAGTGATTCCACATTCGGAGTCGATTCGTTGATTTCTGGGGCCGCAGAAGACCCCCCCCACCCACTTTGGGGCGTCGCCACGTCATGCTGTCATGCTACGCGTTGATCTTCAACACCATGCTGTGCTATGTAATGCTATGCCATGCTACGACATCCGACTGTGCGAGTAGAGAGGATATCTACACCATGGTAAGGGATGTTTGGAGGGGTAGAACGTCAGATATGACTCATGACCCGAGCGCGCCTGGCTTGTCCTCCTCCCCTCCTCCTCCTCCTCCTCCTCCTCCTCCTCCTTCTTCTCTTCCTCCTCGTTATCCTCGTTCTCCTACTCCTCCTCGTCCTCCTCCTCCTCCTCCTCCTCCTCCTCCTCCTCCTCCCCTCCCCCTCCCTCCCCAACCCTCCCCTCATGTCTTCCTCCCCTCCCCTCCCCTCCCCTGCCTTCACTAGTATGGATGGCATATCAGGACCGCCGATGCCACAACGTTGCCTTGCAGGCCCTGCGCCGAAGCGAACCCCGCAGGAGGGGGGATCTGGATCCAAAACTGAAGTCAATACCTCCCACTCGCCAAGCCCTTAGCCCTCCGAGATGCCCTGCAACAGTCTCCCGCCCAGGGGCATCTAAGTGAGCCTAGCCCTGTAAATCGGGAAATTCCTTCTTGTCGAAGATCGGCTCGTCGAACACGGTCATTCGCATCTGATACAAGTTCGACTTCGCATCCTTGAGCGTCTCCATGTCCTTCGAGCAACGCGCGCTTGAAATCCGCGTTTCGTTACGGCCTCAAGGCCTCTGCGCTCGTGCTGTCCCCACTCCTCGCAGGCCTTCTCTACCTCAATGTATATTGCCGTCTCCGCCTGCTGATTCTGTGACTCGGATTAAATTCTCATCAGTAGACAGTGGAGGCCAGGCCACAAGAAGCCTTCCACAAGAAACTCAACCCTGAGACCGCAGGACGTCCACGGATTGTTGGTGTGGGCACGTCGCGCTTTCCAGAGCACAACCATCGAAACTCAAGAAACCCAGGGCACCTTGGAGGCAAGCAGGGTGTTCTTTTGGCATGGGTCTCCACTGTGTCTTTCTCTCTTTCTCTCTCTCTCTCTCTCTCAACTCTCCTTTTCTCTCCACACACATATGTCTGTCTGTCTGTCTGTCTGTCTGTCTGTCTGTCTGTCTGTCTGTCTGTCTGTATGTATGTATGTATGTATGTATGTATGTATGTATGCATGTCTCTCTCTCTCTCTATATATATATATATATACAGATCCACACTAACAAATAATCACATCTCGTCAGAGCACGGCAAGCGGGCCCTGCCTCGCCTCCGGGTCAGACCTCGGGCATGGCAAGGCTGCTGCGTGCAAAGTTCAGGCCTGCACGTCGGCGCACCGGTACTCGGCCCGATGGACTTCCAGGGAGCAGCGCAGGAATGCCAACCAGCCGTACATCGACTTGGAGGAGGAGGATGAGGAGGAGGAGGAGGAAGAGGAGGAGGAGGAGGAGGAGGTGCAGGAAGAAGGAGGAGGAGGAGGATGTGGAGAAGATGGAGGAGGAGGAGGAGGCGGAGGAGGAATTGCAGGGTCGAGCTGGATCGAATCGCCGAACCGAATCGGCTCGGCCACGCATCGGGTCGCCAGCGAACCGGCCCGCATCGACTCGAGGTTGGGTCGCCGCGCCCGGCCCCAGCGGGCCCCGAGCGGTGCTGGCGGATCGAGCCGCGTCGAGTCGCATCGGAATCGCGGCCCAAGCCTTCGGATCGGGTCGCATCGAAGCGGATCGAAGGCGGCCCTGCTCTGCGCTACGCAGAGCAGGGCCGCCTTGGGAGGCTAAATTCGTACGCAGACTGCGTACGAATCCAACCTCCCGAGTGTTGTCGCGCGCGCGCGCGCCAGCAAGGCAAGCAGCAGCTCAGGCATCCAGGCGGCCCCGTTCACTGGTCGGCGTCTCGTGATGCGCACTGCTGTGGACATGCATGCGCAGCATAGATATCGCAGTGGTGGCCAGCTAGCCATGGCTAAAGGTAACATCCACCACCATCATGCCAACATGTTTCGAGACGTGGCCTGACCACTCCCACAGCCTAGTGCTCGACAAGGAAATGCCCAGGAGGCACAGGAATTGTTGCACTGGCACGCTCAACGCGCACACGATTGAGTCCGTGAGGAAGCAGAGAGTGCTTATTCCACGTGCAGTGGCTGCCGCGACGACCGGTCGGCGCTCTCTGTAGTGTCAGCGGGAAGGACATGCGAACACTGGCACAGGATGAAGCGTGCACCTCGCGCCCTGCCACAGGATGAAGCGTGCACCTCTCCCGATTATGCTCTTCGCCTTCCCCCCTCCCTCGTCTTATTCGCTCATGTTCCTCCTCCTCCTCATCCTCTTCCTCCTCATCCTCCTCCTCCTCTTTCCTCCTTTCCCATCATCTCCCCTTCCTGCGCAGACTTGCCTCCTCCGCCTTCTGCTGTGCTCTCGCTGCTCTTTTCCCCTCTCAACAAATTTCTCATCCATCCACTTTTCCTCCTCTCCATGCATCTTGTCCTGCAATTCACCTCTCATCATCACCGTCCTCCCTCCTCCCGCCCCTCCTTGTAGCCCCTGGTCCTCACCCCCTCCGTCGTCGCCTCGGCCTTCCTCTTTCTCCATCTCTCCATATCTCTATTGCTTATCCGGTCTCTCTCTCATTCTCTCTCCCCGCCCCCTTGCTCGTTCCCGTCCCCTTCCGACCTCCTCCTCTTCCTCCTCCTCCTCCTCCTCTGCTTCCTCCTGCTCCTCCTGCTCCTCCTGCTCCTCCTGCTCCTCCTGCTCCTCCTCCTCCTCCTCCTCCTCCTCCTCCTCCTCCTCCTCCTCCTCCTCCCCTCGTCCTCCAGCCACCGCTCCCTCGCCCCCCCCCCGCGCCCAGCCTCGACCCCCCTCCCCCCCTCGCGCCAGCGGCACCGCGCGCCCCGCTCCCGGGCCCCGCGGCGCGGCGGTCCTTGGAGAGCCGGATGGTGAGCTTCTCCCAGTGCTCCTGGGGACAGGGCGTCGCCCGAGGCGCCCAGATCCCCCCTCCCCCCCTCCCTCCTCCCTCCTCCCTCCTCCCTCCTCCCTCCTCCCTCCTCCCTCCTCTCCCCCTCCCTCCTCCCTCCTCCCCCCTCCCTCCTACCTCCTCCCTCCTGCGACCAAGCTGTCAAGGCTGCCCCAAGTTCGCCGACCCCGTCGGTGTGTGTGTATGTGTGGGATGTTTTTCCGTTTGGGTCGTCCTCGTCGTCGTCGTCATCGCTGCCGCCGCCAACGTCGTCGTCGTCGCCGCCGTCGTCGTCGGTGTCGCCGTCACCGTTCCAACGTAACCTCTGTGGTGCAACGCGTGTGGTGCAATCTATATGGCGCAAGGTACGTTGCACAACCTATGTTGTGCAACATGTGTGGTGCAATTTCTGGTGGTGTGACCTACGTATATGTATGTGTATATATGTGTACAAATCAACCTATGTATACACATACGTATATGGTGCAACCTATGTTGTACAATTCGCACAGCCGAGCTTCAAATTGTCAACACCATTGCTCGCGCAATCATCCCACCCGCCCGCCCGCACCATGGTTTGCAAAACCCATGCGGCGGCGATTGCGATGAGTGTTTGGCGTTGGCTGGTGGTTCTTTGCGGCCGCGCTGGTCCAGGCATGCTCGCGCGGGAAGCGGCCAGCTCGACAGGCGCGGCAGACGCGGCCGCGGTGGTGCTGACCGCTGGGCACTTCCCAATGGGCTCTTCAGTTCGAATCGGCGACTTGGGCGGGCGCGGTACCATGGCAACGCCGACTAACTGCAGACACGATAATGGTAGTAGCAGTGCTTGGCGATGGTAACAACCATGGTGGCAAGGCCAGTGACGGCGTCCCCGCGTCGGTGATGAAGGTTTTGGAAGACTTCGACATGCGCGCACGGCCGACGCACGAGTGGCCCGCATGGTAGTGTTGACACGGGTCGTCCCCCCACACCCAGCACGCGCACAAGGGCGTTCGAAAGATTTCGATGTGCGACGCGGGCGGCCCGCTTGACCGAATGAATGACAACGCTGGCATGTGTTAAAGAATTCGCGGGAGCGCGAGCGCTTTTTTTTGTTTTTGAAAACTGATGTTGGGAAACCATGAGTCATCTGTATGTTTGGGGACACTCGATTTTGAAATCCCTGCGACTCCTAAGGCGTTGGAAGCATATCCACATGCGCGCGCGACGACGCGCAAGGGATTCTTGCGACAGCACGCGCGCAAGGGCGTTCGAGCGATTTCGGCATGCGCGCGCGAGAGGCCCGTTGGGCTGTGCAAGTGTTGAAGAACCATTGGTTTTCTGAAGAAACTGCAAGAGCGCGAACGCGGTTTGTTTTAGAAAGCTCCTGTTGCGAAGCCATGTTGTGTTTTGTGGTTTCCAGGACACTTGATCTGGATAGTCTTACGGAGCCTCAAATGTTTGAAGGGCATCGGCATATGCGCGCGACGGCGCACGCGTGCGCACTTCGTCCCATCTGTTGCAAGAGGTTCTTGAAAACCGATGGTGTGTGATACATGTGTGCGCGTAGAGTAGGGTGTGCAGAGGATGTAAAAGGGCGATGCAGGCCTGCCCTGGATGATACGAGTTCATACTGGGGACGGACGGTGTTGCAGACTGGCACAATCATTTGAACATTGCAATACGCAAGCAGGGAATAATTAATTTTGGGGTGGGTGGACCCACATATGTTCTCACATAAAAGCTTAAGAATGGTAATCTACGTTTCAAAATCGATGTCGTGAAGTAGCGTTCTGCCATTTATGTTGTCAAATATGCGTGGTCCATATTCGTTTGTGCAATGCATGGTGTGAAATATATACCGCGAAATGCTTGTGCAATCTATGTCGGGCAACCTGTGTGGCGGCGATTCGGCGGCGACGGCGACGACATACTCGCCAAACCGCCACACTGGTCCAGGCGGCGAATGGCGACGACGCGGCGACGGGGCGGCGACGGCGACAACAGAGCCGCCAGACTACCACACTAGCCCCGACGACAGGAGGCGGCGAGGCGGCGACAAGGCGGCGATGGCAACAACATAGCCGCCAAACAGCCAAGCATTTTTGAAACAGTTTGACATAACCTGAACATGTTATGAAATAGCAGAAGGAACATACTATATCGCCAGCAGCATAACATAACTTAGTACAACCAGTGAGTACAACATAACATACCAGTTCGTCGTATGGCAACGCTGATCCTAAAACAACGCACTTCAACATACTTGAATGAAACACAATAACAAGCCAACTGAACGGAACCAACCATATCTTAATTGTCGCGTTACCGCGCTCGCAGAGGTTGGTGTGCGTCGGGAACTTTTGCCTTTTGCGAACCACTGGTTGGGCCCCCCCCGACGCATCGAGCCCAAGAAGCGTTCATCTGTGTGGCCAGGTCCTTGCGGCTTGGCCTTTCAACCAGAAAAAGATCTGGAAAAACAGCGTCCACGCAGGAGGATTTCATAGCGCCTCCCCCGTCCATCCCCAAGGCCCCACCCCCGCCCATCCCAAACCGAGTGCGGTGACGGAATCGAGGGGCAGCGCAACTGGATAATCAAACGCGACGTGCGCGCCGAGGTCAGGCTGGCCGCAGGAACGAACCGGCGCAACGACCGACTGCACGACGTATCTAACGCGACAGGCGTCACAACGTCGCGCCGGCCCGCCGAGAACACAACAACACAATGCAGTGTCACACATGAGAGCATGAAGGAGCATCATATGGATGAACACGATGGAATACGGCAGCGACCGAGGCGTGGCGCCCTGCCAGACGAAGCATCCGCGCCGACCTCCTGCTGGGCACAGGACAACAACAGGCACAGCAACCACCGATGTACGACATGCCAAGCGCGACAGGCGCCACGACGTCACGCCGCCCCGTCGAGAGCAGAAGCGAAGAGCCAGACGTGCACAGAACCGAACAGGACCAGACCGAACATCGAGCGGTCGGCCGCACCACACTATAATCAAACGACCGCTTGCGCCAGGCTCGCCACAGGAAGCAAACAGGCGCAACAACGACCGCCTGCGCCAGGCTCGCCACGGGAACCAAACCGGCGCAACAACGACCGATTGGACGACAGATCCAACATGACAGACGGCACGGCGTCGTGCCACCACGTCGAGGACATACAGAACAGAGCATAATGTCATTCACTACACAAGGGCAAGCCAGGCGACCAGATTACAGCCTCTCCTCCTCCTCGTCCTCCGCCTCCTCCTCCTCCTCCTCCTCCTCCTCCTCCTCCTCCTCCTCTCAACAAGTTGCAGATCCACTCCGAACGAGTTTCGGGATCTCGCTCACACCACGCGCTTTGGGGTTGTTTTTTCGCCCCAGGGCTTGCTTCGGCTTCTCTCGTCAGGGGCTTCCCTCCTACGACAACCTGAGGAGTCGGAGGAGGAGGAGGAGGAGGAGGAGCTGTTAGATCTTAGGCCACTTCCAGCTTGCGACCTGACCCGGCCACCGCGCTGGCCGAGGCCACTGGGTCAGGCGCGCATCGGTCCAGCAGGTGCCCGCACCGCCGGGAACAAACGCAGAGGGTGTCGATGGGGATCGCCCGAAGCAAAAACAGCTCGACTGTCAGCATCGTCATCATCGTCACCACCATCACTACCATCACCACCACCACCATTTTCCGCCTCGCCCTCCTCTTGCACCCCTTGTGGATCCGTTCCTCGGCAGAGGTGCGCGCGCTCGTGCAGATGGGAGGGAGTGGAAGCGAGAAAGAGAGAGAGAGAGAGATACATACATCTATAACTTAAACAGAAAGAGAGACCTAGGACGATAGAGAGGAATACAAAGATGCAGAGAGATTGGGGGGCGAGAAAGACGAAACTGAAGGCGGGCCGGGGCAAGAGAAAGGCAGAGAGGAGGGAGGGAAAGAGAGAGCGGAAGGGAGGGAGGGTCGGGAGGGTGTGCGGGGGGGAGAGAGGGAGAGAGAGGGAGAGAGAGGGAGAGAGACAAGAGGGAGAGAGAACGACAAGCAAAAATGGGTCGCAGCGACGACGCCGCTGGCAGTGCACACGGGAGGGGACGGGCACGCCACGACGCAAGACTTGTGCGAGCCGACGTGGTCAGAATTAGGTCGGGCATGTCCTCCTACAGGTGGATTGTAGGGGGAAAATATTACAATGCCACACATACCCCAAAATAGCCAAGAAGTAATGGACAATTATTCCCCATACAGTCTTTCTACTATATTTGAATTTTCCTCCTGTAGAGTGACAGGCCCGACTTTAGGTCAGAATAAAAAGTGACTCGAAGCGTAGGGCGAGTGGGCGAGACGAGACGCGATCTGGCAGCCTGCGAGATGCTGAGGCCCTGCGGCCAGTCGTTGGTCCAGACATAGTTCGTGAAGCCCTTGATGTTGTAGTTGTCGCCTTGGTGCCCTCGCGGAGGACGACGGGACCCTGACCGATCAAAGAGGAGTCGGGATCAGGGGATCATAGAAGCAGGAAAACCGCCATAACTATAAACTTTGGTCGGGCATGTTCCTCTACGGGCGGATTTTGGACGAAAAATAAAAAATACCCCTCCCCCCCAAACAAAGCATGTAAAACATTGTCAGAACATCGTTCCCATAGTATTTGTTTTGCTATCTTTTACTATTCCTCCTGTACTATTCCTCCTGTAGGGGGACATGCCCGACTCAACAATAGAAGAAATAACAACTACATTAACATAAACTTGGGGCGTTCCGCGCGGGCTTTCTGGATCTGCGCTGCACCCCCCTCCCTTGCGCGCACTGAGCGCGCCATGGGCGGCGCCGGAGGAGCTGCCGAGGGGGGGGGGAGGGCGGGGCCAGCGCGGATCCAAGAAATCCGCGCGGAGCGCCAAAAGTGTATGCTTGTGGCGTTTTGTCTTCTTTGACGGATTCCTTGGATCAGCGCTCGACGCCCCTTCGTGGCAAGTGGACCGCGCCAGGAGCGGCGCCGCAAGGGGGGGGGTCCATCGCCGATCCTCTCCAAGAAATCAGCGCGGACCTTCGACAGCTTATGCTCATGCAGCTTATTCCTTCGCGCTAAGGGCAAGACCAGGATCAGGATCAACAGCAGGAAATTCATTCAGGATCCTTTCGACACTTCCTTCTCCTCCTCCTCCATTTGGCGTGCCCAGCGTGGGTACGGAAGCATGTGTGCGATGCTCGACAGCAAATGCTGTCCAACACCGACAGCGGCCACTATTGGGCAGGCGACTTTTGCTTCAAAGAGGCGTTGTCCGCGGCGACACCGACAGCGAGTCCTGCTCAGTTTCCGACAGTTGCCCAGCGTTATCCGAAATCACCGATTTCCATTGTGCCGATTCTCTGTGTCAGCTTCTCCGTCCTCGCACTCCTCCAGCTGCTCTACTTCTCCATATTGCCCACTTCGTCGCCCGCCAGCGGACTTATCGCCCGCGTCCTCCTCTCTTTCCGCCTCCACTCCCATCCCTTCTCCCAACTCGTCATCATCCTTCATCACAGAGAGGACGACACGGACAAGGAGCAGCAGGAAGAGGAGGGATCGGCTCCGAACGGACGCGGCGGAGCACGAGGAAACAGGGCCCGCGACTCCAACGGCATCCAACCACCAGCAGAGCTCGCGCTCGCGGCTGGCCGAAGCTGTTCTTGGTGTAAGCTAGATTCCCCAGACAGGGCCTCGACTTCGGGGGTCGAACCTGTCTCCCCGAGGAATCGGCCGGGTCCGCCGAGGTTTCGCCACCCTGCCGCCCCGATTCCGCCTCCTCTGCCGCCCTGTGCGCTTGGAGGGTCCGCCGTGGAGCCGCGTCAACTCCTATGTGCTCCTCGTGGGCACGTGCACCGCGTAGCTCACACCACACAGATTGTACCACATAGCTCACACCAAATAGCTCATACGTAGCACCCCGCAGTTGCGGACGAGAGTGAGGGGGCGGCGGGGACGTCGGCAGTCTGCGAGGCTCTGAAGCCCGCCGCAGGCTCATCCACTTACAAACTGTACAACGTGCCCGCCGCAGGCGCCGATTTTCTTGTTAAAGGGATGTGGGTGGGTGGCGGGTTGGGTCGCGGGTAGGTCGCGGGTGGGTCGCAGGTGGGTCGTGGGGTGGGTCCCGGGTGGGTCGTGGGCCCGGTCGCTGGAGGAACGACGACAGTAAACAACAAGAAAAAAAAGCAGCAACAACAACAACCACAACAGCAATAAAAACAACAACCAATCAACCAAACAAACAAACAGACAGACAAACACACAAACAAACAAACAAACAAACAAAGACACCAAACAACCACACAAACAAGCAAACAAACAAACAAACAGCAACGATCATGTTACCCTGTGTTTCCACACGAAGCATGCGACCATCATGATAACCATCCTCATCATGGGGGACTACTGTTCTTTAGCGGTGCCCGCTATTCCCACTCCCAGGTCTCCCGGCCAATGAGGTCTTGCAAGCACCTCCTCCGAGAAATGTCAGCGTATCCCGCCTCGAAAACGCATGCCCGCGCCTTGCTGCGCCGATGCGAGACCGCCATTGGAGCCCCTGCCAAGGGTAAAGCACCGGGAAGTATTGAGCGACTGGATTGCCTTGGTGGGGATGGGGGCTGTCGGCGGCGAGGCAAGGACCTGGCCCTGAATAGAAAGGGAGAAGTCTCGAGCAGAGCCGCTATTGTTGCTGGGAGCGGCGCCAATGCTGACGAAAATAGGGCGCTAGTCCAGCGTAAAACGAAACGAAGTCTCGAGCGGGGATGCTGGTTTTGTTGGGACGGCGGTTGTCGGCGGCGATGGGGGATACCGCCTTGAGTAAGAAGGGAGGAAATCTCGAGCGGGAGCCGTGGTTTTGTCGGGACGGGGGCTGTCGGCGACGAGGAACACCACCGTCCTGAGGAGAAAGGGAGAAAGCCTCGAGCGGGAGCGCTGTGGTTGCTGGGCGCGGCGCCAATTCAAAAGAGAGTATCCAACGTAAAACAGGAGGAAGCCTCGGGCGGGAGCGCTGTTCTTGTCGGGACAGCGGTTCTCGGCGGCGAGGAGGAGCACCGCATTGAGTAAGAAAGGGAGAAGGTCTCGAGCGGGAGCGTTTTTGTTGCTGGGGGCGGCACCGATGAAAGAAAGAGTAGCGCGTGAATCCGAGGTAAAACGGGAGGAAGGCTCGAGCGGTAGCGCTGGTTTTGTTGGGACGGCGGCTTTCGGCGGCGAGCAAGAACACCGGCCCTGAGTAAAAAAGGAGGAACTCTCGAGCGGGAACGTTGTTGGTATTGTTGTTGGGGGGCCGGTTTTGGCGCCCTCCCAAACCGCTCGAGCGTGAGCCTCGTATCCAATGAAAATGTAGCCGGCGCCGAGGCGAGAGCGTCAAAGCGCCTGACAACAACAACGACGACCACAACAACAACAACAACAACAACAACAACAACAACAACAACACCAACAACAACAACAACAACAACAACAACAACAACAACAGCAACAGCAACAGCAACAGCAACAGCAACGACAACAACAATCCGCACCGCAGAACCTCAGTCCAGCCACGCGCCCAGGGACAGTGAATGAGCGTTCGGCCCCCTCACTCTGACCGCGCAGGTTGTGCCACTTCGCTTGCACCGTTTGGCTCACAGATCATAGCTTACACCACAAATATGGCACCATACATCTGTATCTATGTCTATGTATGGGCCCTGGGGCACTGCCGCCCCCGCAGGATTCACATGAACGGTTTTCTCTCCCGAACGGCGCGCCTCTAGATCTGGGATCTTCTCCGTTGTTTATTAACATCTGATGCGAACCCGGCTCACATCCGATAGGAATCCGGTGGATCTGGGACCGGCTCTGTTCTCATTTAACACTCATCAATATCTGACTTAAACTAAATGTGGATATTCTTTGGATCTGGGATCTGCTCCGCTTTTTGTCGGGGATACGATTAGAACCCTATTTAATACAATAAGAACCCTTTGGACCGGGGATCTGCTCCGCTCTTATCGACACCCTATAAAAGCCGATTCAAACTCTGTCTATGGGAACCCGTTGGATCTGGGATCTGCTACGTTTATATTGAAGGTTGCTTCGAAACACGGCCACATTTAAAAAGAATCCCCTCAATCTGGGATCAAATTCAATTCCCGTTGGCATCGTCTCATTACCATATTCACACTCGATTGGGATCCTCTGGATCTGGGATATGTTTCGTATCTTTGGCGTCCGAAAAGATGCATCTGCGAAGTCCATAGGGGCCCCTCATCTTCATCATTATTACTGATCCCCCTTCCTCATCAGAGGAAGGAACACAGTAGCAGCAGCGGCAAGAGCACGAGAAGCAGGAGGAGGTATCAAAAGAAAAAAAGGCGGGAATGCATACGGAGGAGGAAAGGTCATGCGGAGGATGAGAGGGCAAACGAGGAGAAGAAACAAGAGACGAACGAAGAGGTACGATCGAAGAGAAACATGAATCGGATGGGATGACGACGACGTTGCCTGGAAGATGACGTTCGTCGATGCCTCTCTTGATCTTACTTTACTCGGAATCCTCTGGTCTGGGGCCTGATCCGCTCCTAGTAGAACCCCACTAGAATCCCTTTCACATGGGCCAGCAAATTGCCGGATGCCAATTCAAATCCAACTCGAATCCTCTTCAAATTCCATGGGGATTTTCTGAATCCGGGACCTGCCCCGGTTATAGTGACAGCTGATGAGAACCCTATTCAAAGCAGAGAAGAATCCCCTGGATCTGGAAAATCTGCTCTTTTCCGACCAGTCGGATTTAATGTGAGCGCCGAAGGAGACCAACGGCGCATCCTGAAGGAGAAGATGGAACCAGAGAGGAGGAGGAGGAGGAGGAGGAGGAGGAGGAGGAGGAGGAGGAGGAGGTGGAGCACACACATCGTCCACCGAAAATGCTGGGTTCCTCTTCGAACGTTGCCCTTCGGACGGCTTCCCCTGAGGACTTTGCTGTTGAACTTGTGTTTCATGGTCTTCCTCGGACGTCCGCCGCCCGCGCTTCAAATTCTCTGCTGTGCTGGTCGTTCCTTGTGTCGTTTGCGTTCCAACGCCATCCTCCCACTCGCCCTCCTCCTCCGCCTCACTCCTCGTGGGGTTCCCCGTCGAACGTTTCCCTTCGGCCGCCTCATCCTGGGATCTCGGTTTCTGTTGTGCACAGCCGTTTCCCTAGAAGTTTCCGCCGGCAACACTCCAGTTTCTTTGGATTGTGTGGCTGCTTCTTATTCCCCACATCCAAAGTGGGGTTCTTGTTTTCTCTGCACACCCCCCGCGCAGGATCTCACACCCTCTCTCTCTCTCTCTCTCTCTTCCTCTTTCTCGCCATCATCATCATCAGTCATCATCATCATGACCCACGCCTCTCCTCCTCAGCACCATCACACTTACCCATACACCACTCGATCGCTCACTCACTCACTCACTCACTCACT